ATTCAAACTAATATAATGAGAAGTTTGCAGCAAAAAGCTAAAGAATTGTATTTTATTGTTCTGATGAGAATAAAAGTAACAACCTGCTTGAACTCAATTGGGTAATAACATGCAACAGCTTCAAACAGATCTCGCGCAAAGATGACAAACATATCCGGAAATTTACCTGGAAATTAAAAAAGAAATGAGGAACAAACGTACGCAACAGACACAGAAATAAAAAGAAATCTTGGTCGATTTCTGGCACAGTCTCAGTGGAAGTCCTCACAGTCACTCACTGAGTATAAGACAAGACCACAAAAATACATATCCCAGCTGCTAAAATAACAGCAATGAAAACGACAAGTCAGCGTAGCAGTCCGCGAAAAATCGGCAGTGATAAGACAATGTGATAAGGAAAAACGACTGAACTGTGAAGGCGGCTAACAAAAGAGACCAGAAATGCCTCGCTGAGATTCGCCAGTGTGAGTTGAATGTGCATTTTCTTGAAGTCCGATTTGATGATCTCCTCATCTATGAAAACACCGCTAGAAACAAAAAAGGGATAAAATCCCATGATAAGGGATAAAGGTGCCCTTCCATCTGCAGGCACATCAAGCACAAGTCGGAGAAAACCCTTAAGAACTATAGCCGTCGACGGAAGGCGGTGGAGATTCACAAAAAGCAGAGCCTGAATAAGTGCAAAAGGAAACAGCCGTAGTACTATCTCACAACGACGGCACCTATAAATGAAAGTGGGGATCGGATCCCCGGCTAAACACGATCCCATTTCTCCCCATTTTCACTGATACATGATTCCCATCGGTTGCTGTTAATCGGATCTACAATTCTGCACAAGCATTTTTACCTTGCAATAACACCCATAAGCCAAAAACAGCTTGCTCGTGATGGTAAACCGAAACGGCACGAACTTCGGTTTTATATCGCCTCTACTCCAGCAAATAATTTTTTCATGTACGAATAGAAAAAGTGCTAGGATGATCATAAAGCTTAATAAATGAACTCATCCAGCCACACATAACTGCAGCTCTAAGCTGATCAATGCCTTGGCAAAACAGCCTAGTTGGATCGCAGTTCAGTGCAGCGCAGTCCTAATTATAGACTGTATAATCAAAAAAAAAACTTTTTTTGTGCCGCAAAATTAAAACTGTTTTGTAACTTACCAGAAC